ATATATATATTATTCCATTCTAGCAACTGCAGCAATTTAAATCTGAATTACTGTGGGATAAAAACTCTGCATGTGCTATACCTTGGAAGATATTAACCATTGTCTAAGGAAATGTCATATTTCTACTGCTGAATGCAACACAGCCTTCAAGAAGGACAGTGGAATGTTACATGAAGCCGTTTTTCCGATACCGTCCAATCTCAGGAGTTAACAATAGAACAGATGCATCCTGCATAGACATGATGCTTTCTTTCTGTAACGACATGGGGCACATCTTGTTTGGCTAAAACAACACGCTTCATCTCTACTTACGTTGCCAAAGTATTTATCCAGCAGTTCGACATATCTGTGCAGCACCTCGAGGCTCAGCAGCTCATTATCTTGCCCCTCCAGTCCAGCACAGAAATATAGGCTTGCGTACCTGCGGTAAGGCATATCACTGTTAAACTATTACAACTACTATAGAAAGCACACATTTTCATATGCTAACCTTGACATATGACTTGAAAAACTAACCTTATCTTACCTCCTCACTTCCTCCAGATAGCCAAGTAGCACGCATCAAAAGGAGTAGCCCATTGTCCATTTAATTAATGTAAAAAATGTGGCAAAAACAGTTGAATTACCTACATGCCATTTAATTATGTAAATAGTGTATGTTTTCAGAAAGTCCAATATTAAAGAGTGCTAGTTTTCTTTTTTTTAATCTGTTATTTTTTCGAGAAGGCTGGAACGGATCAACGGTGTTTCCATTCTTTTCAGCAGGATAAGACGATTTGTCATACTGTATGAGTGTTTTGAATTTCTAACGTGGTCATGGGAAGAATTAAACTTTTATCACAAGGCACCATAGTCTGCGCGTACCCGACCTTACCCATTAGATGTATCTACAAAGGGAAAATGCAAGGTGAAATGAACAGTTTTTACATTTCATGCAAATGAACCTCTTATACACAATCTTGAGGTCTCTCCATTGCAGGAAGTTGCACGAGCGCGACGGACGGGCCAAAACAATCATCATCATGTCCCGGATCACCTTCCTCTTCTCCCGATCTGTTAATGGCATGAACCACTTTTGCAGACGTAGCTTTCCCTGCTTGCTGAACAGCAACAAGAAGTGAATCTGCAGAGTCCATAAAAGGAAACAAAACATTAAAACACAGACTCATCATATAGTATAATTTAAACGCTGCTGAGTTTAAACAGTAATATGTTGTGATTCAGATAAAGCCAACGAGTCACAAATTGTGGTTATTGAGTACTTTGTGAACTCCAACTTTTTACATTGGGAACGCTACCGCAGTCGTCTGTATTTTATTTTACATGAATAATAATTTTCTTACACACGTGGACACAATTGTTGGCACCGCTCTGTTAATGAAAGAAAAATAATGATGGGGGAAAAAAATTGGAATAAATAATGAAAATTAATCAATAAAAATCAGACATTGCTTTTTGAATTGTGGTTCAAGAGAATTATTTTTAAAAATATACTCATGAAACGGGGCTGGTCAAAAATGATGGTATCCCAAGAAAATAAAATAATATCTGATAGATAACTAATACATAAAAGTAAAAAATAATATCAATCAAAGGATAAATAAGAATTGAAAATAAATGTTTGTTGCTTTGTATGACATCGCTGCGTGAACTGATGAAGCCTTCTTCAATGACAGGCAAATGTTTTCTCAAGATAAGCAGAGCTGCTTGATTCAATGCTATGAAGACCCCAAGAATGGCTATTTTTTTTTTCTTGAATAAATTTTCTTTTATCAACAGATGCCTCCCAACAATTTTATTCACTCACCTAATTCGTACAATGTCATCAAATCTAATGATTCTAAAAACACCAAAAGACATCCTCTTCAAAGCTGTTCATTGTAAGCCACCATTGGTGACCTCTGATCTACAAAATGGCCAACATCACTATTTTGCAATAGCAACAATAAACGCGGTGGCTGATTAGAGAAGGCACTTTGCCCTGACGTGCATCTGCAAATACTTAACACAAGATAAGAAATATTATGCAGAAAGGAGTGTATTAACCATTTCGTTGCTAGTCGCCAACCGTTTTGCTTAGGAGACTTATTTGAAGCATTTTTTTGTAGAATCAGAATCTTTATTGTCAGTGTACAACACCATTGAAAGAGAATTTAGCTGCTAAATTCAGACAAGGAAAAAACACCTTAGCTTTAAAAGAAAAACTGAGTAACTGTATTGTTGCGCACAGAACAATCCAAGCAGCCAACACTCACCATTTTGAATCTCTCTCAGAATCATGGGACTTGCAAACCCTACAGGACTAAGAAACGTCCATACGGACGACTAAAGTGCTCCTGCTACGCTCCTGCTTCTCACATTGTGCATCACACCTTCACCACACCTACACACACACACACACACACACACACACATAGACGTGGGTGAGTGAGTCAGGTGAGAGAGAGAGAGAGAGAGAGAGAGAGAGAGAGAGAGAGAGAGAGAGAGAGAGAGAGAGAGGGCAGAAGGGGGTGTTTTGTACTTTCATAACTAATATGACTGCCCAGTAGGCATCTGATGTCAGTTCAACGTCAATTTGACATTACTCACAGAGATCAAATTGTCATCATAATTTGGTCAACAACGTAAATCAACATGACATCAATCCTTTGACATCAATTTGATGTATGTCTTATAATGATTTTACTGACGTGATTATTTCTAGATCAAGCTTCTTCGAAATTTCACCCGAATAATGAGCTTGATGTTATTTTGACATTGTTTCTCTGTCAAACTTTTGCAAATAATAAAAAATGAAAATAAAAACCATAGCACACAATAGCAGCTTCTGGTGGTTGCCACTGGTGGCTAATTTTCATGAAATTTGACTCAAGTTAAATATGAATAAGTGCCACATTATTTGAAATGATTTTATTTACTGCAGTTGAGTGTGAATAATACAGCAGTTAGCATTAGCTACTGCAGTATTAGTTGGCTAACTGCTATTAGCTTTGCTTGAAGTCACGTGTTTTGAAACATTGACGATACACCTGTCGCCAAGGCTTTTGTCTGCATCCTGTTAAGGAATTTATTCCTTACTGTGATTTTTTTTTAGCCCCTCTCTGTTGTTGGTTCTGTTCAAGCACTTGAAACAAAGAATGTAGAATGCTGTTGAAGGTATTTCCTGCTTACTGCGATTACAGTCACCTTTAGTGCCCCTTGACCCCCACTTCGGGAGAGTCCCTGAAGGCTGTCAAGTTCCCCCAGGGAGGGACTCTTATCTCAAGATTTACGCACAGAGGGAGAGGTCTGGACTTTCCCAACATGCCAAGATCGAATTGCATCGACCTTTCTTTGTTTCCGGGATTTGCATGGAGGCGTACCTCTCCGCCTCTCATTATCACATTGTCTCTATATATTCTCATGCATGTATTTTTTCTGGGCTTCCTGACGAAATCTGAAACTCTCAGGAACCCCAATCGATTCGTAAACTGCAGAAAAGGAAAATAAAACCTTCGAAGGTACTGTTCATTGTCTCCAGCCTGTATTTGGAAAACCAACATCCTCATCATCCGAAATTAACGAGCACGTGGAGGAAGAGAAAGGCCATCTCTCCCCCAGCAATCCCTAATGCAAGAACAATAAAAAAAATAATAATTTTTTTTAAATCACACCAATAGCCAAATGCTTCAACTTGAGCAGCTGTATTGGGAAATCAATGTGACATCAATTCAATGCCTTGTTTCCAGGCATCAAGTCAATGTGAATTTGATGTCAGTATTTGTAACACAATTTACAATGTTAGCAAATCTATGGTGACACGTTTTGATGGCATAAAAGTCGAGCTAATGGTAGCGGGCTCTTAAGCAAGAAAAATGCGACATATAATGTGATTTTTTTTTTTACCTCAGTACGAGCACAATGCAAGTGAATGAAAGAGGGAAACTATTGTGTGTGCGCAGTAATTGTTTTCATTGTGTCTAGCGATCAAAACGGGTTGTACAAAATATAATTGACACTCAAAATTCATTTGTAATGTTTAACTGAAGTCCATTTCAAAGTCAAAAATTTTCTGAAGTGCGTAACTTGAATATCACTTCTACTCCCCTACATAGTCTGATTACGTTTGCCGTCTCTGCACGAGAGCAGGTTCGCGAATGTATTGCAGTCCCTTTGGCTGCCACTAGTGGGCCGCAGGTGTTGTGGGCCCAGCAGGCTGTTCTGCTTCACGTGGTGTCCGAGCGCAGCTCAAAAGAGGAGCGAAGAGGAGAGAACGTCCTGATGCTTCCAGACCCAGAGCGCCACCATGTCTCTGTACCGCAACTTGGCCTGGTTCCTCAAGGGGATGACAGAGTTCACCAGGTATGATTAATGCTCTCATCTTTTCCCCACCAGATTATTTCATTGAGTCCCGGCCCTCTTAATCATGGCCTTTGTTTTTTTGTTTAGTTTTGTTTGTAATTTGCTTCGACATGGTTGCACAGCACAGTAATAATGCTAGTTTATATGTGTGAATATTGCTGCTGTGACAACTTAATTTCTGTCTCTCTGTCTGCCTGTCTGCCTGTCTATCAATCCACCTGTCAAGTATGCTTTGTGTCCACGATTTGATGAAAAAATGTCAGAAATTTGCAAAATTGTACCATCCTCTATTTGAATATTGTGACTATAGAGGCATTTTGTGATAATGGGTGGTCACATGTAATTTAAAGTACAACATTTTGACGAAGAATAGCTAAGCTGGGACACTTTATATTGGCTTATGTTGCATCTAAATTCAATCAAAAGATGAAATTTCATTCAGGTACTTATTTATTTCGCGTCGTGTAAATTAATCTTCCTCACATGAAAATGAAACATTCCATAAATTGCAGATCGAGTGACAGAAATTGACACTGACTGTAAATAGATTTCTTTTTTCTAACCGTACACAACATATATCTTATAAGCCGATCATCACAAAGTCAACCATTTAATTTACATAATATTAAGAAACACCTCTAAATCGTTCCGTGTCCCGATGCGTACGTCCATCTGATTAATTACAGCCTATCAGAGGCCAAGCTCATTAGTATACAGTGAGCTGAGTTTTCTGAAAAGGTGCTTTTGTGATTGTTTCCCTTCTCCCCTTTGTTCTGTGTTGTTGCTTCTCTAACAGAGCGACCCGCTCTGTCCCTGCACTAATAGCTCTCTGCATGACACCACTGAACAGAGCGCATATTTAGCTTCGGTCTCACTTGGCCTTGTGCGGCCTTCCTCAACAATAGCTTCCAAGACAATGGTTACCACACACACACACACACACACACACACACACACACACACACACACACACACACACACACACACACACACACACACTTTCATTCACATACTCCAATCCTGTTGTCAGTCACCCTCCAACTCTTCTTGTCACATCCGCTGCCAGGCACAATCTCTCACTCGTGTGTACAGTAAAATTGTGAGGACAAACCTAGTGCCAATCCTGCCCACTGACCCCTTTGACCTGAACACACTTACTCTCTCTCACTGTCACAAGAGGTCAACTGAGTTTCAATGCAGCAGTGCAAGCTGATTTGAATGTAACTCTTACACCAGTTGAGTTCTGTGGTTCAGGATTTAGAGTCCTAATGTACTTATGGAATGGCCTTTCATGCAGAAGTGTCCTTGTATACTCTCCACAGGAATGCCTTCTTGTCAGCTTCTAAGCGCTTCGTGGAGAAGGACCTGGAGGTGTCTTTGGCAGGACGCTCCTTCATGATCACTGGAGCCAACAGTGGCATCGGGAAAGCCACGGCTATGGCTATTGCCAGGAGAGGTACCAGGCGCTACCAGCATTTGTTCGATTTTTTCCGATAAAAAAAAAAAAAAAAAAAACAACCTATCAAATTTTCCCAATATATGTAGAGTAACAATTTGCATCCACTTTCATTGGGTAACTTTCAATATTATATTTTGGGTAAAGACTCAATCAAAGAAATAGCTACGGAATAAAATATTGAGTAAAATATACTCTCAATTTCTTAATAAGACGACTAAAAAAAATCATTGTTAGGAATTAAGTTTTACGTATTCTGGGAAGGTGAAAAATAATGCCGATTATTTTTATCTCTCTGCAGTCTAACCATTTACTTCAGTTGTACACAAGTAACACCAGTTTCATTATTTATGTATTTATTTATTTATGTTGTATTATTATTATTACTATTATTATTGTTTATTTATTCATTTCAAAATTTTGCTGCTGTAAATTGAGAATTTCTCCATTGTGAGACAAATATAAGCTGTCTTATCTTATCTTATTACACATGAATCATACAATAACATTTTATCCTTAAATAGAATGAAATTTGTTGATAAAGTCATTGTACAGACCTGTCATTTAACACACAGTGAATCCAAATTTTCACCGAGAGGAGCAATGCACGTTGTCATAGGAAATGATACTGGACATCACTATTTAAACACAACCTAAGGCCACAGTTTATTAAAAAAAAAAAATCAATAATAATCAATCAATAACAAATAAATCAAACATGCATGTGTTAAATATTACATATGTTCAAAAACTGGTAACGCAAAAGCACTTATAACAAGGGATAATGTCCTTAACTTCAATGCATTCTGGGAACCGAAAATGATTATTCTTTTTTTAAACAATATATTTACAGTGACATCGCGGGGAATAGGGACCAGCAAAAATTCACATAATAATTGATGACCAAACCATTGAAAAAAAAAAAATGTGTGTGTGTGTATATATATATATATATATATACAAAAACATGCGTGGCAAGTTAAATCAAAGACAAAGCATAAAAATTGTGTGATATGAAATATTCCAATTCATGTTTTATATATACAGTACAGTATAGATATATTTTAAGTTTTGGTCATAGCACAGTACCGCTTTTATTGTCCACAGAGGGCAAAAATACAAAGAAAAAAATAAGAACTATATACCGGTATGTATGTATAGCGCTGATGCCACTGAACATGTCGAGTGGTTGAAAGTAAAATAAATATTCAGGAATAATAGTTTTACAATTTTTGTAAAATTGTATGTTGCGCTATATAAAATTATTTACATCGACTGCAGCACAAGGGTTAAAAAAATCCACAACACAACCTCTATAGCTGCACATTGAAAAAAAAAACCCAAAAAACAATTTGCATATGATGTAACTTTTAATGTTGTTTCTTAAGAGATGCTTTTGCGCAATCAAAACCTCTCGAACAATCATGTTTCCCCACAGGTGGAACCATCCACATGGTGTGCAGGAACAAGGACAAGGCTGAGGAGGCGAGGGCTGAACTTGTCAAGGAGACAGGAAATAAAGTACAGTACATGAGCACTAGTGTATCAAAACAAATATTTTCCAAAAAAATAACGACACGGAAAAGTTTCATCTAGAATCTAAATATCCCCACAGGAGATCTATGTGCACATTCTGGATTTATCCGAGACCAAGAAGGTCTGGGAGTTTGCTGAGGCCTTCAAGAGAAAGTACAAGACTCTCA